CAGTTGTTGATGGGATTGGAGTTTCCACGTGCTCAGGCCCAACTTCTTTTGTCTGGTTCAGGTCACATTTTTCCTTTGTTTCCTTAAGGACTTCCTTCCTTCTTGTCTACCTCCCCGAAGGGATCTCATAGACAAAGTTTCCTGGCTTTTGTCCTCTCTGCTTACGTGCCTGCTTCATCTTTAGGTTCAGCCTAGTCTCACAGTATCAGACTGGAATCAGTGGGATAGATTAACTCATCATTGGAGGGTGGCTCTAGCTTCTATTCTGGTTGAGGAGACTTTAAAGCTAGGTTGGGCCCTGATGACTCTACTCGGTATGTTAATTTCCATGGCTACCCATCCAAGAATGATGAGGGATTCTCCTTTTTACCAAAGCTTGCTAAGGATAAAAAATATAATTTTGTTGGCTTTTGTTTAGCCAAGTTGGTTACCCAAGATTATCTGTACATTCTTAATGTGATAATACAGTATCAGGTCAGATCAGCAGAAATCACTTATTGGCAATAAAATGAAACTTGTGATTGTTGCAATCTATTTATGCAAATTTATATATTAAAGTTATTTGAATTTTACAAAATGGATTTCTCAATAACTATCCCAGAAAACTTCTCCACTTACTGTAAGTGTAAAAAATAAACTGTTGTATCTGCAAAATTAACATTTAAAATGTACAAAAATTAAAACTTGTATTTCCCAATTACTTGGGAGGTCAGTGTTTTAACCAAACAAATACATGTTTGATTGTTTTTCCTTAGAAAAATTACTGTGGATACCTCAACCACATTTGAGTGAATCTTTTGAGTGGGGGTTGCCCTTAAGCTCTCACAAAAACCCATCGTTCTAATGGGATCCTAGGGTTCTGGGGAGCACAGTTTGAAAAATCCTGCTCTAGAGAACTTTGTGCCAGCTGTCATGGCCTCTGGTCAGAATCCAAACGCTGGATATTACAAGCTTGTTATTGCTCTCATTCAGCAATAATCATCTTTGCATAGACTTATCTCAACATTTTCCCACGCAGTTCATTCTTTCATTCCTTGGCACAAAAAGGTTGAAGACTTCCTAGTGTTCATTAAATATGATTTTTCTATTACATCTGAATTAGGAAGACCTGGGACAAGCCTGGAGCCACAGTTCAAGTTGGCTTTAAGATCTTGGTTTATTAACCGGAATCTCTCAATCAGGTTTTACACCAAAGACTTATGGCTTCAACCAAGAAGTCTCCAGGTGTTGTGGGCAAAGGAACACGCAGAGGGCCTTCACTGTATACAAATTCAGCAGTGTGTTGTGTTCCTCCTATATTGTCCAGATGAGATGTCGAATTTGGTTTCATAGGATATTGCTCCCTGTTTAAATAGCTAGTTCTGTTCTATAACAAAGATGTAGCACTTGGATGATGAAAGATAAATCTCTCAATTTTTCATTTTGTAAGTGGTTGAGTTCACACTTTGCACAAAGCCGCCGTGTAATTTTTTCATAAGCATGTAAACCATGGCTTAGCAAATTGTGTGAACTAGGCTGTTATATCTTGCTGAACAGACCATGATGAACAGAAGCCATAATTTAGCAATACTGTATATAGAGAACTATGACATCTGGGGTGCACAAATCCAGATTGACAGCTAGTTGCCAGCAAATTGCTACCTTCTAGTGGCTGTCTGGATTCTTTGCAGCTCAGATCTAGTAGCTCCATTACATGTACTTCCAGCATTTTATTCCTGATTTTATCCTCTGTATTTCAGCGCCGGAGGCAAATCCTTGAGTCTTCACAGCAGCTGATGGAGGTTTTGAGCAGGTGAGCTTCATAGCTCCCCTTTGGTGGGACTTCTGGTGGCTTAAGAAACTGCTTTGCCAACTGGGATCCTTGGTGTATATTGTGGACACTTGGCTTTCATGATTTGATGTCTTCCAGCTATTCTGGGGTTCCAATTCCTATCGCTTCTAGATAACAACATCATAATATAACCCAGGCCCTTGTCTGAGTTTTTAAGTGGTGCTTTTATTTTCTCAGGTTAGTGCCTTTGATAATAGCTTGGTGGCTTAATTTCCCTTTTTTACTTTTTTAAAAATGTAAACTGACAATTCTGAGCTTGAGAAGAAGTTATTTTTCCCAAAGTGAAATTCAGGCCCATTTGTTGAGCTACCAAACTCATGCCCAGGTTTTTAGGCTGTAAGCTCCTTGAGAGTGACTTGTTGGGTTCACACAATATGTTCAATGAAGTGAGATAATCTGTGGTTGAGGGGCAGCCAATGAGTATTAAAACAGCTTCTCAAAGAAAAGCTAAGGAAGCTTGGATGGTTAGTAACTTGGATAGGAGACTCCAGAGGAAATCCCGGGGCTCTAGGCTAGTCTAGGAAGATGAAAAAATGTTCGAGGAAGAAGGCAGTAGCAAACCACTTTCATATTGTTGCCAAAAAATATACGGGTGCGTCCATGTAGCTTCCAGGAATCGAGCTTGACTCAAGAGGGTCTTTCATTTTATACTTCCAGCGTTCTAGAATTCCCAGCTTCCCTTTCCCGGCTGCTGCTTACTGGCTCTTTCCCCAGGCACTCTATGGGGTGAACAAGTTCAAAGAGGAAAAGGTGATCTGCCATATAGAGGTGGCACTCACCTAGCACTGGTGGCAGTTCCTTAAAGAAACCTTGTCTTTTCCTGGGCTTATGTGGCCCCACTTTTCAGCTCCCATGTGATCCCAGGAAAGGGTGTATTCGGTTTAAGGTAGGTCCATCGTGCATGCTGTGAATCACATTTCCTCTTTGAATCTGGGAGAAATCCAGCCCTATCAGATCATGCTGGATTTTATTTCTAGGGGAAAGCTTCCCAGGTTGTATTTTATATTAGCTTTATGGGAGATTTCTTGGGCAATGCTGGAACATTCAACAGTATGCTTCTTGCTTTAACCACAGCTGCACATACATCAGGAAACTGTTCTTAATATCTCTACCTTATTTTCAAAAACAGAGATTCACAGAGTTTCCATGGCTTGAAAACTTTTGGGTTAAAACCTCTGAAATCAAAAGGAGTTCACAAGATGGTTCATTGAGCAGCTATGTTTCCTTGCCCCTGATTAGCAAGATAACAATCGGTTATGCAAAATGAAATGCCTTAATCTAAGTAATTAAGTACTCAATCAGTAATACAGATTGAAGATTTCTTTTCTTTTCTTTTCTTTTCTTTTCTTTTCTTTTCTTTTCTTTTCTTTTCTTTGAGTTTCAGTTTTTTTAACATATTTATTAAATTACTGCATTTTATACCACCAAATTCCAGAGTCTCAAGGTGGTTTTTGGTAAATACAAAACCAAATTAACCGACAAGATTAAAATTAAAACCATAGATGCAAAAGAATCAAGTTTAAAGCCTTTCTAACAGCTAAGCTGGAGCTGTGTTCCCTCAGTTTGACAGGGAGCTTTTCCCAAACACTCCTTCAACCAGATTCTCCTATGTGCTTTCTTGCAGACTGGCGGCTGAGGAAACCCAAGAAGAAGCCCCTGTGCCTAATGGGAAAGAGAGCAGTGGCATAGCAGAAGCAGAAACGTCAACATCTGCCCTAGATTCCCTCTGGGTTGACCAATTCACTCCCAGACGCTATGTGGAGTTGCTAAGTGATGATGTAAGTGTCTCCTTGTGTGCGTCCTAGAGGTCAGGGGTAGGGTAGGCAGCTGGGTGCTCTGCATATCTTTTTGGACCCATCTATCTGAGGATGGTTGGATGTTCGGAGATGTTGCATCTCCACGCATGCTACAGTGCAACAAGGCTAGTTGGATATAATGTTCCTCAAGAGAACCCTGGCAGTCTTCCTGAATTATTTGAACGTGTCCTTGGCTTGGTGGTCGACTGAGTAGATATAGAACTGAAAATCCATGGAGTGAGATGGTCTGGGTAAGCTGATTTAACCATGCGACAGGGTGGGATGTGCCAGATTGTTCAACAAGACACATTTTTGGTAATCTATCATGGTCCATTGAAAATATCTTCCACCCATAGTTGAAAACAATTCGTTGTAGAGCTATGGTTGGAGTAGATGCCTGTTTCAGCTCTAACTGAAGAGGCTGGAGTCCCAGAATGGATCTTAGGAAGCAGATCTGGGTTTGTTCAAGTAATGACGACTGTGACAGTCCCCACAGTTCTGCTACATAGATCATTATATTTATTTATTTATTTGTTCATTCGTTCATCTCATCTATATAGCCGCCCATTCCACAAACGTGACTTACAGGCTTTACTTTAGCCTTATAGTCCTTTAATATTGGGACAGGGGTACCTGGGTAGTTATAATTAGGTAATTTCAGAAGTGTTTTAGAACTGGCTGAGGCCTTTGTCGCATTTCTTTTAAGATGGCTTTATCCATGAGCCTATGTTGGTGAAAACTACTCCTAGGTATGAGAAAGAGTTGACTTGTTCTATAGGTTCCCTGTCCAAGTACCAGATGTGTTTAGTATGTCTCTTTCCAAATACCATAACTTTGGTCTTGGCCTTATTGATTTTCAAGGAATTAATGGCGCAGTAAGGATCCAACTGCTGAAGTAGTTTCCTTAGGCCATCTTGAGATTGCCCCATAAGGACCATATCATCCACATACAGAAGGATGTTGATAGATTTATTAAGTATCTTTGGCATATGGACATCCTGAGAGCAGAGGAATCCTGGGATGTCATTGACATAAACAGCACTGGGGCCAGAATGCGTCCTTGTCTAATGCCATTGGTAGTAGGTATGTTGTGTATCAGAGTGCCGCTTGCTCCTGTACAGACTTTCAGACAGGTGTTTGTATAGAGCGCCTTAGTCAGGCATAGGAGTCCAGATTCCATGTCTAAATCAGCCAGTTTCTTCCACCAAATGTCTCTGTTAATAGAATCAGGTCCACGCTAAGGTCAACAAAAGTGGTTTATAGCTGTTTTCCTGCTGATGTGTACTTTGTTATAAGATGGCATAGAATAAAGCAGTTGTCTGTAGTTGAGCACTCAGCCCTGACCCCTGCCTGTTCTTCTACTAGAAGTTTCTTCTCATACACCTAGTCCTCTATTCTGCTTAGGAGATAGCCATTATGTCAGGTAGGCTTATAGGTCGATAATTTCTGGGCTCTCCTTTGCCTCCATTTTTGTCTGTAGAGACTAGAATAGACTATTCTCATCCTACAGGAATATAACTGGTGTTATTTATATGAGAGAACAGGCCTGCTAGTAATGGAGCCCACCAGTCCGTCACCATGTGATCTAAAAAGCTCAGCAGGCAGAAAGTCCTCATCTGGTGCTTTGTTCGATTTTAGAGAGTCTGTGACATGTTTAGTTCTGCCATTGTGATCAATGGCCAAGAAGGCAGTTCGTTTGGAGAGGGAAACTCAAGTTTCTGAGTTGGTTAGAGCTGTCATAAATTACCATAGTATTCCTCCCATGTTGAGGCTGGGATGGGAATGTTGAGTAAGAATTTCTGTTTCCTCAGGATGCCAGATACAGTGTTCCAGAATATGACTGAATTGTACCCTTTTGCTGAGATTTCTAATTCTGACCATGTAGAGGCCGTAAAAGGGGCCTTCTTAGTTGCTAGGAGCTTCTTATAATCACATCTAAGCTTTAACATCTTAGTGTAGTTTGTTGAAGTGGGGTGTCTTTTAATCAAGCGCATAGCTGCCCGTAATGTCTTTCTTGCATGATAGCGTTCTGGATCAAGCCAGTTAGATCTGGTGAGCTGGTTATTTCTGGGGGGAAATTTATCTGTTAGAAAGTTTTTTAACATGGATTAGTGTAGCCGACCAGTACATTGTTGGAACCTTCTTCACCCACGTCTGAGCATACCCTGAATTCAAGAAAGCAGATATGCACTGGTGTTTATCTTAGCCCATTTGAGCTGCCTATCTCGCCTCACTTCGAGGCTAGCTAACTGCTTTTTCTCATGGGGATGTGCCTAAGCATAAGTTGGAACTGCTGAAAAAGTTAACCACAATTGCTTGATGGTCACTATCTTCCCTCACGTTGACCTGGACATCTGAGAAGAGCCTAGTTTTGTTGTTTGAGACACATAGGTAATCTAGGGCACTACTGGTTTTCCCAGAGTGAAAGGTGTAAGGGTAGATCGAGTGAGCTTCTTTGCCTCCCAAAATATGGAGATTGCAGTTATATATTAGTGAGAACAGTTGGAGATCTGCAGCATTTCTTTTAGGGTCTCTGGAGTGCCAGGGGAGGTAAACGTAAGGTAGCCTTCCACAATAACACTTAGGTGAATGTATTCATTCAGCAAGGCCCTCACTCTGGCGTTGAAATTGCCCAGTGCAATTACAGCAACTTTAGGGTGTTTTAAGTTTGTCTCTAAGATTGTCTTTTCTAGATTTGCCCATATGTCTGGGGTGTAGCTTGGTGAAGAGTGGGGGGAACATAAATGTTCAGCACAAGGATTTCTGTGGTTTTATGCTTGAATTTGATCACTAGAAAACGAGAGGGATCAACCCCATGAGTCAATTCCTGGCCCTGTCAACCTAGCTCCTCTTTAACACACAGGGCTAACCCTCCAGATGCCTTCCCTTTTATTTTGATTTTCCATGCTGGGGCAGACAATTTTCTGAAGCCTGGTAGGTAGGCCTGGGTATCATCAACAGGTCTCCTGTAACGCTGTAACATCAAGCTTAGAAAGACATTAAACCAGGTTCCTGTCAGATGTTCTGTTCTTCCAACTGGCTAAGTTCCATGTCAGGAGGTAAATGTAGGTCTCCTGTCTATTGTCCATGGTGGTTAGTGAAGGGGTACAGAAATCTCACTTAGAAGAGCTCACAAACAATCAGGCTATTTATCCTACTTTGGACACATTATTTGAAGACCCAGCTCTCTAGAAAAGGGTCTAATGCTGGAAAAGGTGGAAGGAAAAAGAAGAAGAGGATGACCAGCATCTGAGGATGACATGACACCTCAGTGTCTAGGTATACACAGTGATTAGAGATTACCTAATCTTTGTCAGACCTTCATTGGTGGCTAGACTTTTCTGGCAAGCTAATGCTTTTGTGAAGTTTGTTGATAGGAACATTGCCAAGTTGTTGATCTGAAGCATTGTTAGCTGCCTGGGAGGCTGCCATGGCCATTGGCAGAGTGTTGTTAACGTGGGATCTTCAGTTTCTTGAAACTCAGTTTAGCTGAAGAGTAAGGCTCAGGTTGACTAGTGGAAATGTAGAGTTACATGTATCCACTGTTAGATTCTGGTATAACCCACAGGCTGGCAATGAGTGAAAATCCCGTGATTTTAAGGTATTCAGATATATCCTCTGGAAGAGGAGTAGTGTCGGTGTTTGTGTTCTTTAAGACTTCTGAATGTTGCAATAATTTATTGGAAGGCAGATTTAGGGCTGGCTGGGGAATTCTGGGAGTTGAAGTCCACCCATCTTAAAGTTGCTGAGGTTGAGGAACCCTGTTTTAAATTTTAAATTTAATTTTAAGCTGGGGAATTCTGGGAGTTGAAGTCCACCCATCTTAAAGTTGCTGAGGTTGAGGAACCCTGTTTTAAATTTTAAATTTAATTTTAAGCTGGGGAATTCTGGGAGTTGAAGTCCACCCATCTTAAAGTTGCTGAGGTTGAGGAACCCTGTTTTAAATTTTAAATTTAATTTTAATTTTAGACCTAGATCTTCAGGCTCCTCCCCATGTTGACAGCTTTCTTGTTCTCCAATATGATTGCTCTGTCTGTCAGAAGGTTCAGGCAAGTGGTGAGGAGTTTTAAAAATTAAGATTAAAAAACGAGCAGAGTAAAAGCAGTAAAGCAAAATACTATGAAATAAAATAAGGTAAAGGGCAACAGAGGCAGCCTCCTTGAGAGAGCTCATCACAGGAGGTGTTTCCTCGTCGCCATCTTTCTTCATCCCACTTAAATGTCTTGTGATTATTAAATGCTTAGACCAGTGTTCCCTAATCTAGGCAGTTTCCAGGAGTGTGGATCTAGCCGACGTGGCCATTGCTGAGAATTCTGGGAGTTGAAGTTGCCCAGGGTGGGAGATGCTAACGTAGACAATGTAAATTCAGAAGCAGAAAGCAGAATTTTAATGGACAGTGTAATTTGCTTCTGTAGGAAATGATGTTTCTTCAGTGTTTTGCATAGCTCCTAGAACAAAGAAAACACTGCTGACTGCTACGTCACAGTTGGAGCAAATTGCTTTCCAGTTGTGAAAGCAGACCATTTTGAATCGCACATCACAATTCAACAAGGGGGGCCTAGCTAGCCTGCAGTTTCCTTCAAGGCCTTCACTAGCAATGGCCACTGGAGGGCTGTGTTTTTTTCTGGGTAACGTGTGGATGTGTGCTTCTGTTGTCTTTCAGACTGTTTCTGTGTCTTTGTGTGTCTGTGTGCCTTGAGAAGCACACTGCATGCGGCATACACTTCTTTGAGCTGGTATCTTTTACCAACTTCTCCTCATGGACCAAAACTGGCCCCTTTCTGATCTGTTTTTGAAGAGTTATCCTGCTGACAGACAGAGGGACAGAGCCTCAACCTCCTGTATGTTTTTTTTTTTTTTGCAATATTCCTTTGAGTGTGGAAATCAAAAGGTTCCAGGCCACTTGCACCCACCAAAATAAGGACTGTCACATCTGCCTGTTTTAATATTTCTGGCCTGTGTGCAATGATTTGTGTATCCTTGGAGTTTCACCCACTTCAACATCATCTCTGACCTCAGTACACGAATCGGTGCCTCCTGAAGTGGCTGAAGCTATGGGACGTGCTTGTGTTTGGGAAGGAGAAACCCTGCAGGAAGGCCCCGCTGCCCTCTGGGACCCAGCCACCTTTCAAGCCTTCCAGAGAACAGGGAACCAGATGGAAGACCAAAGCACAGATGACGGAGGAGGCCTTGGAGGCTGAGCTGGACCAGCACAATCGACCAAAATGCAAGGTGAGGAAACTGGTCCCTGGCGCAGAGATCGAGTTGAAAGCATAACCTTTGTCCTTCACATTTATATTGTGTTTTAGGTTAGTCAGAACATTTCAGAGGATCCTGGCCTTGTACGTTTATCCATTCCTGTCTTGCAAGCTGGAAGGTGCCCAAGACCAGTGAATTCACAGCAAAAGTTAGATCTGAATTCCAGATCCAATGATTTTTTTTTTCAGATACGCATCAAATGAAAGCTTTGCACGTCCAATGCTGTCTCATTGGCACACTTTACTGCTGCTGCTGGTGATCCACTTCCGTTTTGTGTCTGCTCAGCTCATCTGTCTCAGCCTCCAAGACAGGCAGAAAGTCTTCTCTTCCTCACAGAGGAGGTGCTTGGCAATGGCTTCACCCCCTTTCTGGCTTAGAAGAGAAGAGGCCTTGTGGCCCTTAGTCTTCAGTGCCAACTAGATTTGGTGCTACTGGTGAATGCTGCTTCCTTTTTTCTCTGCCTTGATGTAGGATTAAAGATTGCCCCCTTCTCTGCTGTCTCCTCACTACTTTTTGCTTCTTTACCTTCTGCTAACCCATGTGTTCTTCTGGAAATTTTAAATTATTCCACAGTCTTTTTTTTCCTAAGAGCTTATAGCCGACAGTTTAAGGCACACGGTATCTACATTCACACAACGAGCTAAACGTGGCTTATAATTAACAGTGGATAAGGCACTCAGCCTGTGAATAGACTCAAGATCACACTGTAAACCACCATCAGTAGCATTTTCCCAGCCGCCTTCCTTAGTTGGAATCCCAAACTCATTGCAGTGCCGGGTCAGGTCAGTACTCCCGGAAGACCTTTCTCTGTTGCAGATGTGTGTTTCTGCACCTCTCGGCCTTCTGACTCTACCTGAGTGACACCCTTGGGGAGTGGGTGTTGTAAAGGCTTTAGTATTCATCCCTTGTCCCCTTGCCTAGTCTTTAAGCTTTGGACTGTTGATTTCTTACACCAGGCTGAGCAGCAGTGAGTTCAGAAGACGCTTTAACGTGACTCTAAATCGCTCTCATTCTGTCTGTAGATTGCTCTCCTTTGCGGACCGCCTGGCTTGGGGAAGACTACTCTGGCTCATGTCATTGCAAAGCACGCTGGATATAATGTGGTGGAAATGAATGCCAGGTCAGTCTTAGTTCCTTTTTTGCAGCTTCAATGGACAGACAAAACCACTGGGCAACAAAGTGGTTGAATTGTGTGCCAGAACACACTCAGTATATAAAAGAATTGTAAACACCTGAGCTCAGTCAACATGGGCTGCTGTTTCTTTTCTGTGGTGCGCTGATGCCACAGTCATCCTGCAAGTCCGTCACGCATCCGTGCGAGCACCTGCTTTGTTCTTTTGTGGTTGATAAGTAGACCCCAGGAGTAGCGAAGACGGCATTGCTTCCCTGAGGAGGATTTTCACATAACAGAAGGGGAGAGGTGTTGCTAAGCTGAGCTGGAGAAGGAGGGAGTGCGATGCCTGGCAACCCAAGATGGCTTTGGCCACTGAAGATTTGTTGTTGATTTTAGCAAGAGGAATGTTCCAATAATGGAGAATATATGTAGCTCGGGGTTAGGTTTCTTGGTGTTCTCTGTGCTTGGCATTTTCCTTGCAAACCTCATTACCTTCCTTGGTAACATCATCAGTGTGATGTGGGGGAGCTGAGGTTTGTGGCTGTTTTTTTAAAAATGGTTAAAGATCTTTTCCAATAAAAGGCATATACAACCCTCAATGCCAGTTCAATGTATTTTGAAGAAATATGTGGTTTGGTGAATATTGTTGAGCTTTGCAGCATTGCCACCACATATAGAAAAAAGGTCCAAACTGTTCATAGCATTTCTAGCATTTTGGGGGAAAGAAGCTATTCGTTTTAGCAGTCGTGACTGGAATAATGTACCAGTGATAAAACATTCCACTTCTAAGTGGAATGTTTGAGCTGAATTTAGTATTCTTTTTCCACTGAAATCTCTATAGCTGTATTCAGATTTTGCATCCATTCGATCATACAATCTTTGATTTGTTCAGGTTCTGAATTGTATCTCACTGTTAGATTATACCCAATAAATGTTCAGTAAAAGATTTTCAAATTCAGTCAAATTTCTCAATATTCCCCTTGTTTTGTAGTTATCTTGTTGCTGTGCTGCTTATTTGAGAGTACAGGTGGTCCTCACTTACTGACCACTCATTCAGCAACTGTTCAAAGTTACAACAGCACTGAACGAGTGGTACTTACAGTCCTCGTACTTACGTTGATTGCAGCGCCTCCACGGTCACGTGATCGCAATCCAGGCACTTGACAACCAGCTCGCAATTATGACGTTGCAGCATCCCGCGATCACATGATCATCGTTTGCAACCTTCACTGCCAGCTTCCTACAAGCAAAGTCAATGGGGAAGCCAGCGAAAGATCACAAATGGCAGCCACGTGACATCCTCGCTTAACGACCTGTGGCTGTTCACTTAACGGCAACCAGAAGTGCTAGAACTGCTGCCACTATCTAAACAATGTATTGTCTCTCCAGTGAGCAAATTTCTTAGTGGTTTCTTCATCATAAAAGTAGACATTCAGTAAGGAAACATGAGGGGAGAAGTCTGGACTTACTCTTTCCCTATATTTATCCCAAAATTTCATTGGTTCCTTAACACTACAGGTAGTCCTTGGTTAACTATGGTAATTGGGACTGGAATTTCCATTGCTAAGCAATGCGGTCGTAAAGCTCAACGTCACGTGACCACATTGCTTAGCGATGGCAATCCCAGCAGTCCCCATTGCCGTTGTTAAGCGAGCACCTCCTCGCAACTTCCTACCAGCTTCCAGCAACAAAGTCATTGGGGAAGCCAGCAGGAAGCTATGAGTCCTGGGCAGCTAAGTGTCAGGGCCAGGAAGGCGTGCAAGCCATCCTATACTCCGCCAACCCTGCTGCCCCCAGCTGATCTTCGCCGTCTTCTTCCTCCTGCTGCTGACGAGGCACACCTGGGCTAGCCCTTGGCAAAGCTGCCGCTGCCCCAGCCCAGCACCGAGGCATGAAGCCGTGGCCACCCTGGTTGCAGCTGCCCTCACCACCCTAACCTCCACACCCCCTGCTCCCCTGTGCTCAGCTGCCTCCAGCTGACCTTAGCCATCTTCTTGCTCCCACTGCTGACAAGGCACACCTGGCCTGGCACTTCATGAGGCAGCTGCTGGCCACACAAGGCCTTCTTCCTGAGGTGGTGCGCACCGTTCCTGTTGCCTCGCGAGGTTTCCTCATGGGGCTAGGGCAGCCACGGCTTCCTGCCTCAGTGCTAGGGCAGGCTGGGGCAGCCACAGCTTCATGCCTCAGGGCCGGGCTGGACTGGAGCGGCCATGACTTCACGCTGCAGTGCTGGGGGCTGCGGAGCACAGGGCAGCAGGGGCTGTGGAGTGCAAGGGGCCAAAAGGGCAGAGATGGGGGGAGATAGGTAGGTGGGGGTTGCTGAAGTTGTAAATGCAGGCAGGCTGCCAAGCACCTGGATTTTGATCCTGTGACTGCAGGGGCGTTCCAACAGCCATAACTTCAAGGACCAGGCATAAATACCATTCATTCAGCACTGCTGTAACTTTGAACAGTCGCTGAATGAATGGTCATTAAGCGAAGACTACCTGTATATAGTGCCTTGAAAATTATTTGTTTCTGGGTACATGAACCCAAATATATCTATGCTACTCCTTCCATTAAGGTGATAGAACCGTAAGGAAATACATTAAACAGGTGGGGGTCAACAAGATTCACCTGAAAATGTTGGCACTGACTAAATTATAGTGCATAGTCAATATGCTTACTGCAGCGTATTGGCAAAGCATTTTAAATATATAAAATAAATAGGATTCTTTAAAGAAGCCAGAGAATTAAAAATATGGGACTAGAAAGTCGCAAAGTCCATCAGCGTCCCCACCACCACCTCACTGGCATTGGTGTGGAGTCAATGCACACTGCTATTTTATTTGCAAATAAACCAAGATACAGCACTTTCTAGCATAACCAAGAAACTAGTGAGACTTAACTGGCTAGCAGGTTTATTATAGAAATAACTTTTCTGTGGAACTTGTTTCATCAGATGTATGAACTTTTTCTTCTAAAATGGCAAGCCAGTAAGTATACCTACCATCCTTGCTTCCTCTTTAACCCAGAATGTTTGTTTCAGTGATGACCGTAGCCCAGATGTCTTCAAAACACGAATTGAGGCTGCCACTCAGATGAAATCAGTGCTGGGAGCCAATGAGAAGCCCAACTGCTTGGTCATTGATGAGATAGATGGTGCCCCGATGGTAAGGGAATCTTGATTGATTCATCAGTCGGTTCTTCTGTATCCTGCAGTTGGTGATGAGAGAGATCTTGACCATCTCTGTGAAGCCCTTTAAAATAATACTGTTCCTCCCACATTCTTCTGTCAAGGATAAACACATCCAACTCTCCTCAGTTTCTTCTTGCCTCTTAACAATTTCTGTGAATCTTTTACAGAGAGTGGAATCTTTTTAAAAGGCATGTTTTATCCTCCATATGGAAGAATTTGCTCTCCCTCTAGATCCTGGATATGGTCCACCCTGGGCATTTCCATGTCCCTTTTCTTGGTTGCTAGGATGAAATGGTTTGAGTGTTCCACGCTCAGAACAAAAGACTCTGTGTTCCAATGTTCAAATAGAATACAGTCTGTCGTTTAGCAACCGCAATTGGTTCCAATGAAATGGTCACTAAGCAACATGGTCACTAAGAGAACCACGTGACTGAGAGAGAGATACTGCAAAGATCACTGGTTGCTGCTGTCTCATTTAGATAAAGTTCTCTCATGCAGCAATGCCCGCATTACTCTCCCTCTGGTGTATGTTGTTGTCAAGAGCAGACATTTGGGCATGAGTGCATGTATTGGTCAGAATTTTTTTTTTTACTGCTATGTATGACCAACATATTTGCAAATGGTTGCTAACAGGTGGTTGCTAAATGAGGACTGGCTGCAGAGCTTTTGCTCCACATTATTTTGAGCCCCCGCCATTGGGAATAAAAGTGACTCAAAACAAGTCACGTGCTCCCTTGTTTTTTGTCCTTGGGACACTACCATATGTGGGAAGTCGGTTGCGCATGGTGGATCCGCCATCCAATATATGGAAAGATTTTCCCAAAAGGATTATTTCTTATTTAAATGAACATTTTAAGATGTCTTACAGGAACAATGGAAGCAACAGTAAAGCATGCTTTCTGCAGTCTGCTTAAAAATATTAAACAATGGACAGAAACTGTGGCTACTAGTCATGCCGGGTAAAATAGTCTCCATGTCCAGTGGCCTCAGGATACCATCTGGGAAGCTTGGGGATTGCCTTCTCCCTTGCTTATGATATGACTGGTTAAAGACGTCGTGTTCAACGAGATTGGCCCTCGAACTGATTCAGGATGGCTCTTTCTAGATTTTCTCAGAGTTCTCCATCCCCATACGCTAGTGCCTGTAATTATTTTGGCCCTCTTGTCTTTTCAGGCATCTATCAATGTGCTGTTAAGCATAATCAACCGTAAAGCTGGTGTGGCAGAATCCGAAGACCGACCAAGCGGGACAAAGAGCAGAAGAGAAGGCGGGCTGCTGCTCCGGCCAGTCGTCTGCATTTGCAATGACCAGTAAGAGATTCTGTTTAGGAAAAGTACATGTGAGAGCAGGCACATCACTCCACACCGTGTGCGAAGAAATGAAAGCAAAGCACTGTGGGATTTTCATCAGACATCTTGGCAGACTTTCAAGGCTAATAGACCTTGACGAGAAAAATCTCCCATTTTTTAAAGCTGTCTGAAAATTCCGTTTCAAACCTCTCCTCTCTTATTTGAGCTCTTGCTATTGCCGATCGCCATGATTGATGGCTAGTTTCTTTTTTCTTGTTATTGTGGGAACTCCTTCGGTATTGTGGTTCTGAGAAGATGGTGCTGATGACTGTTGTTACTCTTGCTGCATTTATATCCTGTCTTTCCTCTGGGTTAGAGAGCCAGTTTGGTGCAGTGGGGAAGGCCCCAGGCTAGAAACCAGGAGACTGCGAGTTCTAGTGCTGCCTTAGGCACGAAGCCGGCTGGGTGACCTTGGGCCAGTCGCTCCCTCTCAGGCCTCGGAAGCAGGCAATGGCAAACCACTTCCGAAAAACCTTGCCAAGAAAACTGCAGGGACTAGCCCAGGCAGTTGCCAGGAGTCTAAAACTGACTCAAAGGCACCATGAATAAAAAAAATAAAAATTTCCTCTGGGAGATCACAGTGACACACATTTTGACCCCATAACAACTCTGTGAGAACAACTGGCCCCAATCATCCCATTAACTCCATGTTTGAGTGGCCTTAAGCTTGTGTCTCCTAAGTCCCAGTACATCATCACATCTGCCGTTACGCTGATTCTTTTAGATACATTTTTCTCCTATTTTCTTTTTTTAATTATTATTAATTTTTTTGAAGAATGTTATGCAATAGTAAAAATGATGCAGATTTAAGAAGAAAAGAAAAGAAAAGCGATGAATAGATAATGAAAAGGAAAAAAAATATAAAGCTTCTGATCTTTACAATAGTTACAAATAAATTTATCGTCTGTCCTCCCTCTTTAAGGTTACATCATAATTCCCTTCTTCCCATACTTTACCCTTTCTAATCATCAAAAATTCATCTTTTTCCATTTTTAGCAAAAAGTCCATAAAGGGTTTCCAGTGACTAATAAATGTTGTTTTCTCCCTAATCAAATGAGTCAATTTTGCCATTTCTACAAATTCTGTCATCTTCACCCACCATTCCTCCATGGTAGATATTTCTGAATCTTTCCATCTTTGTTGATATATTTTCTTCTTCTATTTTCTAGGTATGTCCCTGCTTTGCGGCTTCTGAAGCAGCAAGCTTTTATTCTCAGCTTTCCCTCAACTTCTCAGTCAAGGCTGGTCCAGAGGCTACATGAGGCAAGCACACCCAACCACCTGTTTTTATATTTCCTTGTTTGTGATCATTTTCCCTGCAGTAAGAATGTTGTACATGTAAGCATCAGAAGACAGACCTGCTTGGCCTTTGCCCAGTACAGAAAAGCATGGGAATAATTGAATAATTGAATTGTTTTCCCTTTTAGCTGCAAACAGCCCCAGCCTTTGCAAGCTGCAGAATGTATCTGTTTCCTTAGGCTCCCACCTGCTTGCTTAGTCCTGTGGAAGGTCCTCACTCTGTATCCTTCTGTTGCCTGAGGTGTCGGCAGGACCTTCCCGGTGATGGCTCTCTATCCTAGAAGATTGACTTTCCTGTCACTCTTAGTGTTCAAAAGCTAGATGAAAACGATGCTGATCCAAAGGTTTTTTGCCCTGAGCATTGATCAGGATTTTCCTAGCGTGTCTTATGCTAATTCCTATAATAATGCAACTTTGCTAATACATCTTGTGGACGCGGATGCAAGGCCATCCATGCGTCAGCATAATGCCCATCCTTATGCATTTCAGATCACCGTCCTACAGGGCATGAAAGCTGATATCGGGGCACTCACAGCATTGTGTGAGAAGACAGACAATGACATTCGCTCTTGCATTAACACCCTGCAGGTTGGTTGTCTCGCTAGCCAGTTCTGTTTTTCCACATCAGAAGTGGAAAGCAGGGATTGAATGCCAAACAAATGCTCTATTATTATTTGATAACTCTGCTCAGACCTCCACATTTAAAAAGTTTTGCATAAACGTTTCCCTATCCTGGTACTCACCTATTGTGTTGGGTCACTATAGAAACGTGCTGCCTGGGAACCCAGATATGCAGCCCTAAAAGACTTTGGCACAGCGCTCAAAAAGTGCTGCGTGCCCGTAAGGACTAGAAATTTGCCTGTTTGATGAAAGATTCTCAGGCAGATGAACTGTGCATCTTTTGCTTGCTCAGATTCTTCCTGAGCCAAGCTGGTAATGATCAGAGCCTGGCATTTTTCTCCCCTTCGCCCCACTCCGCCCCATGTAACCCAGTCTCCTCTTATTCAAGTTCCTGTACAGCCGAGGCAAGAAAGAGCTGAACGTGAGGACGGTTCAGACTGCAACGGTTGGCTTAAAAGACCAGAACAAAGGGCTGTTTTCCATCTGGCAGGAGATCTTCCAGCTGCCCAAAGTGCGCAGGTGAGAAAGGCGAGCTCTTGTGCCTCGCTCAACTCTTTCTAAGCCAGGAAGAGACTGTTTTCAAGTTGCAACCATCATGTATGGTCAAGACGTTTGGCCCCCAGACCAAGAAGACTCTCTTCAGCCCTTCAGGCTCATTAAGTGGCCTTGGGCCAGTTGTACTCTTTCAGCCCAGCCTACCTTGCAAGGGTGATGATTGGAATAAACGTGGAGGGTGCACAGTGTAAACCATCTTTGCTCCTGGAATATAAATGAAACAAATAAGAACCACCATCAGAAGCAGCAACATTTTATTATGCATAGGGATCAAAGCAAAGCCAATCGTGCCTCCGGTTTTAAGGAGGCTACATTTGCAGAAATGAGATTTTTTAAATCTTGATTCTCTGAAACACTCCTGAGTTTTTAATTGTTAAGACTTTGGGGTTCTTTCTTAATCTTTGTTTCTGAGGCCCGTGGAGCAGGTTTTGTTGAAATTCCCTTTTTCAAGTTTGTATCCAGGTCTATCCAATACAGATCTCAGGAGTTTTAAAACGAGGTTCCTAAATCAGCATGGCACAGGTTAACTGTTTGTGTGCTGCAACAAATAAGTTGCTCAGGAATTCATCAGGTAGCCTCATTTGTGCAGAAGTACTTTAGGCCATTGCTGAAATATTTTGTTCTGCCTGTCGGGAAATGGGGAAATGCACATCATGATATTGCAGTGCGCATTCTGTTATTTTATCATGACATTTGAAGAAAGCTAGAGAAATTACTCAGAGATACGACAGGCAACCTCCTTGGCTTTATATGAGGCAGAAATGATTGAGGTTGTCTGTTGTGTCACTGAGTATTTGCATTCGTATCCTTCAAAACAAGACACTTGCTCTACCCTTTCTTCTGAGAGGTGTGAGTGCATTTTCCATTAAGATTCTGGTAATTAACATGCCACAGCTATCAGATAATTCAACATTCAATCTTTTATTTTCCAGAACAGGGTTCCTCACCCTTGGCAACTTTAAGACGGGTGGACTTCAACTCCCAGAATTCCCCAGC